AAACATCTGAAGTTGAAGAAAAACTGATCAACTGTTCATTGAGACAACTGAACTGTTTCTTGTCACCTCTGTGAAATGTTTTCTCAAAACCTTCATAGATTTTGCCTTTTGGTACCGCCATCAGCAGTGTGGCTGAAAGTGCGGCTTGGATGTCTTTATACTTGTCGTCTCGCCACTTCGGCGGGTAGAGTGTCACGATGCCAAGGAAGCCTTTACCCTTCGATTTTACCGTCTTCACTAGCGAAAGAATTGTCAACAGCTTTTTCAGTTGTTTGCTTCATGGTTTATAGTTCTTTACGATCCATCGGCTTCATTTTGCAGCCCTAGCGCCAGGCTGATATGCTTCAAGCCGTGAACTGCAGATAATTGCTTGTTAGATAACCCGTTTTGGCTTCTTAGACTTTTCTATGCACACAGATTTTCTGTTGACAGTCTAAATGGCCGGACGAAAACCAGATAAGCCAAATACCACAGTTGTCATCGTTATGCCATTGCATAAATAGTCATAAGACCTTCATGTGTCAATTAAAGGTGAAATCACTTATTAGCTGTAGCGGTTCAACTTATTTTCTTCCGGTGAAGGTGGGAAGGAGCTTATAACTCTAAGCTCTGGGTCAGAAGCCCTCCACTCCTCTCCCCTTAACCTCTCCCTTCGTTGGGGCGGACGAAGGACAAGACAGCGGAAAGCCAGATTCGCATGAGGGCCATTAGGTCGATTCCAGGTCGATTCTTTGTCCTTCCTTATTGTTTAACCGAATACTCGTTCAAAAACATAGATTCAAAGTTGAATTGTTTTGAAGAGTTCAGCTCCTCCGAAACTATTCTGCTGGCGGTCGTCGTCCAGGGGGAAAGACGAGAACAGGCCATGAATTCATAGTATTTCATCATCTCCAAAGCTCAATACATTTTGTAAAGATATTCATTAAATACGCAATCTCTTGCCCATCAAGAATAAACGTAATATCGTGACCCAGTACGCATTAAATATTTCCTTCAACATATTGCCTGTTATCACATAAATGATACAGTGTGCATTACTTACAATCGGTTAAGCATCACAAAGAATTCATCTTACAAATACATTTTTTGATGTCAATAATATAAAGTCAAAGAAGTACCGTTTCCTGAAAAACTGTTACTACAACGAATCAAAGGATGCTAGACGGAATTAAACACTACAGAATTTCGAGCATCACGAAGCCGCAGCTCGATTGGATGGTTACTTATGAACGTATGAGTCACCGCGATACGACATATCGTCAAACCACGATCTAAGAGTTTTCCGAGGTTATAAAGTGTGTAATCGATGAAAATTGCAAGTCTAAGCAGTCAGTGAAGAAAGACAAATATTACTTGATTATATCATATCCAAAATGGCGGAACGAGGAGCAGGGCAGGACAAAATTACCTTCAAAGAGCTGATACAGTAACACCCTCAGGATATTTGACGTCGAAACTTCCAGCATAATGTTCGAAGCATTTCAAAAGCTAAACCTTGCTTACAAAGTTGGATGAACATGATTCGAGCGATCACTTTCCCCTTCTTTCCATTCACACGGAGTGGTCGTGCTGTTCACTTGCTTCTGTTAGCCTAAGGGACCGTTTGAACACGATACGGCTCCGTAGTACTTTATCATCAGCAATGCAGGGGTTTAAGACCACCGGAAAATGTTTGAGAAACCACGGATATGCCTCGATCCATGGGCATTTATGTGTTTAATTTGAGTGGGTACATTTTTTGCAACCCATTCAGAATGCCTGTCCTGGTAAACTACTGTAGACGTCGCCTAAACCTTCTAATAGCCGAAGGGATTCTGAGAATCTTAGCGCTTTGTGGGGTTGTGGTTGCCGAAAGAGATCACTGGCGAGTGGCGGGCAGCACAGCCCCCTCAGTCAACTGTAGCTAGCTCCTGAATTAATTTTCAGGCCATCATTTCAGCGATAAATGATCCCGGATTAAGTGTCTAATTTTTTGACCTTTACGAAAATACCAAGAGAATCATGATATGCAAATAATATGTATACACCGAGTTGAACATCACAGCTCAGTAAGTTTACATCCAATCTTACGGTGAAATGATGTCAAGTTCGAAAACCGACTGAATGCGTCTAATTTCACCTTTTTGAAAGAGATAGATCATGCGTGGTAGTAAGAAGAAAGCGGCAGACAGTGAAATGGAGTTTCCACCAAAAAGTAAATATGGCCGCATAAGCTGAAACAAGTTCTGGAGTGGCAACGAAACGAGCGTTTGTTTTGCTGCATCTGAGTTTCATGAGCATAGAGGTCACAAATCTCTTCATACTGTAATCCAATGGTGCCCTGACAATTCCATGGCTATGAACTTAAATTTTGATTTGATAATCATTGCTAAAGTTATGATTATTTGCTGATTCATGGTTCAGAGCATCAGACAAAATTAGTGATAAGAAACTGATTGCCAGTGCTTATCATTTCCTCTTCTTCAGTGCCAGAAAAGTAAAATAAATATTAAGACCGACCAGCATCATGCAATCCTATCGCTTAAGAAACGGAGCGACATATACAGTGCGAAACATGAATAACAAACCTGGGTCATTCATGACATATGATTTTCGATCCTTCCTCTAAATTAGAGGCAAGCCCAAAGTTGTAAACGGCGTCGGACAATAGAAATCATTCCCAGAAGATTTCGAAGGTTTCAGGAACCTTAGAAAAGGCTTTCAAGGCTGATGGTAAATATACACAAATTAAGCCACCTACGGGTTGCGGACGATATTCTAATCTTCTCATGGTCACCAGAAGAATTTCAACAAAGAATCCAAGAAGTAAGGAGTACCAGCGAGTACCAGCCCCATAGCAATGGATTGAGGTTTGAAGAAGTGCAAAATTCGTCTATGTAAAAAACAGTTTTTATATACCGATGGGACATCATCAAGGAGTAG